CAGTTTGATATAAAAAGTTATTTAAAATAGTATTTTCAATCTGCTACTGATGTGGACCCTAATTGCTATTCGTTAATTCCAAATTACTAAATAAAAATTTTTATCAAACACCTTATTTGTAATAGTTTCGAAATATATAAGTTTATTAAATACTTATATTTAACGGTTTAGGCAAAATTACTAACCGGTACTCCAAAACCGTTATACTAAATGGGTCCCAAATTGATCTTAATAGCTGTATAGGCTTTAGAGAATGTTTGCTAGCAGGACCAGAAAATAAATTACACAAATGAAATAATAAATAATGTTAAGTTACAGTTAACATTAAAAAAAAATTGTTAAGTTACAGTTAATGGCAGTTGAATTTCTTTTTATTTAAAGGAATATTCTTAAAAGAGAGAAGAGTACAAATTCCATTCCCCTATTATTTCTTCTTTAATTAGAAATAACGAAAATGACTTTAAAGTAATATTCTAACTAACAAGTTGCTTTTCAGGGCTCCAAATAAAATTTGAATTATATATTATTATTATTTAACAGTAAACAACAATTCTCATTTAAATTTATAACTTATTGAGACTTTGATATGTCATCTTTTAAAATATTTTTGTTTTGAAAATTTAGATTTCCAACCAATCAAGGGCTGTCTTTGTTAATTAAGGAAATGGAGAGGAAGGACAAATGAATGTGAACATTCCTAAATATAATGGAATGAAACTCTAGAAGAATGGGTCAAGAACTCAGAACCACATAATATGGCCTAAAAAATTGGGCATCAAATCAAATAAGGTGTCTGTGTCTAAAATCTTGTCCTTCTTCGTGAATATCCTCCCAAAGTTAGAGGTAGAATTTTTTTTTTTTATGGAAACCAACGGCACCATCGTCAAACTTGTGAAGCTGAAATGCACCTATTTGGCCTACTCAAAGTATCTGGGGCATGTTTGGTAGGTTTAGCCTTTAATTGTTTCCTCACATGTTCGTGTCAATCTCATTTCTCAGTCTCAGCATGGTACCCACCCACTTTAAACATAACCCACATGCATGCAATGCAATTGGATTGACTTGAACCAATAGAGCTAGCATCTTTCATCAATAGTTCGATTTCGTTTGTCCTCTTGGCACGACATATGGCATATGGCCACCAGGACCAAGCTCAAGGATTGGGTTCGAGCTGACCCACATGGGCCTGGCTCCTTTCCTTTTTTTTTTTTCGCCATCAATTATGTCCAATACGTGGGCCTATTTTAGCTTTAGACAAAAGTCACCAAACTTGTTTTTGTTTTTTTTTGGCTTAGAATATATTTGGTTTAAAAAAACAAATAGAAGAGAAGGCAAGAGAGCATAGAGAGGATTTTGTTGACTAATGCACTGTTTCCCTTACTTTTTTTCTTTTTTTTTATGATTGGGGTATTTTCGAGTTAACTTTTGTGTCTTTTAAAATTAATTTTTCTTTAAGTGATCTTAAGGGTGTTGCATGCTTTATATCAATTTAGTACATTTAAAAAAATTAATTTCTTAGCTACTAACCCCAAGATTTGAATATTGAATTTAACCTATAAGACAACACTTACTTATCAATAGATTCAACTCTTGGACTTCCATTTCCCTCACTTTATTAGCCAAAATGGTATTGGGTTTTGAGGGATTGAAGTTGCAGGCCTAAAAAGTTCTAGCTAGGGGTGAGCATGGACAGGCATGGGTCAAGTATTTACCCATACTCGTACTTGATTTGAATAGTAACAAGTATAAGATTTCAATATCTAGTACTTATCTAGGTATTGAAATTTTATATCCGTTACTTAATTTGTTGGGTATAAGTATACTTACAAGTATACTTGGATACTTATTAAATTTTACACTGAAAATATATAAGTTAATAGACAATTACAAGTTTATATATAAAACAAAATACGTGAGTATATACATTTACGCATACACAAGTTTATATCTACAGTAACAAAAGACGTACGAACAAAAATTCACATAAATTTCTTTCAATTGAATCTTCACTATCAAAAAAAAAAAACATAAACATTTTAATTCTATAACATTATATTACAAATTAAGTATATAAAACTAAATTATATGTCAGGTATATGAGTCAGGTATATATGTCAATATTGACCTTCATACCAAATACTTACCCAATACTTAGGAGGTATGCATTTTTCATACTTGATATTTAACTGTTTATTCACAAATACAGGTAAAATATCTACTTATACAAATCAAATACCTACAAATATCAGATATATCTTACAAATATCAAAGATACCCGTGTACATGATGCTCAACCCTAGTTCTAGCTCAAAAAGCAACATTGGATATGGAATTATGGAACGGTATTTTGGGCTTTAGCCCATTTGAATCCGGTTTGTTTGACTTCTAAA